GCTGATAACTCAATTAATAATTTACATGATTAATATTGCCTATAAAATCATGAACATCCTGCAAATAGGTCAAATTTTTCTTCAGTTTATTCATTACTTGCAATTGTTCAATTAAGGTTTTTTCTGTGCAAATTGTTTATTCCATGACTTGCAATTTGAGCTGCATTGTTCATTTATGACTGGTCACATAAGTCACAGTGCATTGGTTTTGTTCATAGTTTGGATGAGTGCAATTCTTTATTATAACCATCAGGTTTCTGGCATGACTGTTTTATACAAACAATTTAAAGTTTGCTTTCCAGGTCAATTTCAGCTTAAAAATCCACTTTCCACTCATGGTTGTGCCCTATAACAATCATAAAATGAGCTTGCATAAAGGGAGCACAAGCAAAGCCAAAGTAAATGTTCTAAAAACCAATATTTGCTGGAAAATATTTATCTAGCTCTATTTCCAAGTCTTTGACATAGTTCTCCTTACTGGATTTAATGTTGCAGGCTTGTTGAAACCTTGGTTTAAAACCATTTTGAACCCTTGCCCGAGTACTCTGGGCCTCACTCTCCCATTGAAATAGAAGGCAAAACTTCCATTGACTCCAGTGGGAGCAGAATAGGCCCCTTTTGCTACAATGTTTTGCTTGTCAGAAAACGTCAAGCCATAGCCATTGACTGAACCTCACTATTTAGTTTAATTACTTTCTTCATTTCCATCTCTTTGAGCGACTCCTGCGCTGGTGGAGCTCCTGTAATTTTCAGAACATCCCTATTGTTTCAGGGCAGTGTTGTTGCAGCCACATTGGTCCCTTGAAAGCTCGTCTCTCTCTCTCTCTCTCATCAACAGAAGTTAGTCCAATAAAAGATATTACCTCACCCCCAGCATCTCCCCCTATTGTTTCAGCTAATATAAACCTTCACTCTTGGTAAAACAGCAATCAGTAAAGGCCCGAGTCCTGCCAATACTTATGCATGTGCTTAACTGAACTGGAAGTACAATTAAGAACACACAGAAAAGAGTTTTCAAGAAAAGGGCCAAAGTTTTTGCAAATTCAGTTTCAGATGCAGTTACTTTTGACTTAAAAAAAAATTACTTAAGTCTTGGTATTCAGTACAAGCGGGTGTCTCAATCATCTACAATTGCTTCAGAGAACACAGATTTTTTTAGGACTATTTTACTTGTTGCAGTTTGTAATAACATCTTGAAAACCACAAGACAATCTGTTACGTATCTTTTCCTTTAGTATTGTGGGGTCATCCAGGTGTACTAGGCTCTTATTTTTAAAACCCCCTAATGCTATGAAGCATTTTTTTTTAAAGCAAAAACCACACACACACACCTCCAACAAATTTCACAAACTTTTCAGCCATGGAACAAAAGACATAAGATAAATTTGGGGGCTACAAACCTAGAAGTTTTACTGTACCTTTAACTTTCAATTCCAGCTAATGAATTTGTTATACAAATTCTTTCAATATTACTGGAACTTCCTTGACGATCAGGGTAGCAAAAGGCCATTCAGTATATAGCCATATTTAAAATTCTTGCAATACATTGATTTTAAAGTGGCCAATTTTAGTTGGATGTATTCCTGGAGATTTCATCACATAACAATCTTTAATTCCTGGAGACTCCAGGCCATTCCTGGAGGGTTGGCAACCCTAGCTGATTCTCTGCAAATGACAACTATATTTCTTAACAACATTAATACTGGTGTTTTAAAGTATTACTAGATATCTTAAATCTGAAATAGACATACTGGTGATGCCAAATCATATTCTAAGTGTACTGCAAAAAAAAAAAAAAAAAAGGACCCACAGCCAGTGAGTCTCAAAGCCTGGGTCAGGTGACTTGGGCTGGTGCTGCAGGGCTAAAAATGGCAGCATAGACGTTCAACTCTGAAACCCAGTGAGGGGAGATGGGACTCAGACCAGGTTCCAGCCCGAGCATCTACACTGCTATTTTTAGTCCTGTAGTATGAGCCCTGTGAGTCTGAGTCAATTGACCTGGGCTCAGAGACTCACTTCTGTGGGTCCTTTATTTTTATTGATTGCCATGTAGACATACCCTAAGCCATTTGATAAAAACCCAGCAGAAAATAAGAATGCTCTAGTTTGAAGTCAGAAAAGAATAATCCACTGATCTATAGCTAGTATTCTTTGAATGTACTAGAGAGAGAGCGCGCATGCGCGAGCAAGCACATCTTTAATTCTGAGGATTTCATGGCTTTACTCTGTAGGTAAATCTCAAAATACCCCGTGAGTTATATAAATGTTGTTATGCAGTTCTGACTGTTTTGTCTCAGGCATTCATGCGCTAGTATAATGCTGAGTGGAGTAGTTGAAATTCTCTCTCTTTTTTTTTTTAATAACACTAGTATTCCTTTATTTGTACTCCTGTAAGAAAATAGGAATTGCCAGACTGGATCAGACTTGAGGTCCAATTCTGGGCCAGTGACCTGTCTCTGGCAGTGGCCGGTACCAGTTGCTTCAGAGGAAAGTGCATGAAACTCTGCCGTTTATATCACATCTAGAACAGTTTTGCTCTAGTAACTGTTTTCAGTATATTGAAGTTTAAGAAATGTTGGATTCACATATTATTTTAACCAATCAAAAAATCAGGGCTGCAATGCTTGCATGAAATAATTCCATCTGGGGGCTTAAGAGAAATTTTAACATCTAGAAGCAAAAAGTTCCTCCACGTGGACTTGTTTCCTTGTAAATCACACCAATCCTGCTCTCATACACCATGAAATTTGCTCTGTTGTATACCTCTGTACATAATAAATCTCTGTTGAAATGGTTTCTGTGGAGAGGGGATCCCCAAGGTAAAATTGCTGCCTGGTTTAGGTCCCAAAGTTTGGGGGCAAACTGGACAAAAGGAGAAGGAATGAAATAAGAAGCTTAAAACATTAATTCCTGAGCTGTTTGTCATTGAGATCTCCAGATGGGTGCTGGTGGAATGCTGACAGAATGAACAAATAAATATCTTGTATGATCATCTCAGAAATCCCTTTCTGAGGCTTCTCAGGAAAATCTAATTCCTTCGCCCAATAAATAAAGGTTAATCACCCCCACCTAAGAATAAATTAGATTAGTACAGACTAAAGCTTCACAAATTCAACTTTATAAATAATATAGGGTCTGTTCCTCCAAGGAAAGAAAGAGAGAGGAATATCAGAAGGAGATAGGAGCCTATGTCAGAACTGGCTCCATACTAAAGATTTTGCAGTAATCTGATATAGTCACACAAAGAGGAATTAACTTTCTATCCCTCTAGAGCCATGGCACTCAGAATGGCCTGCTGCCTATACACATGTAGTGATCTCAAAAGTAATAATTTTGACTGCCAAGAGATTTGTTTCCCCAAGCCATGTAACATATAATAATTTTCCAACCACCAGGTGGCTCCTCACAGATGTTCTCGCTAGTGGTTCTCCCCCCTCCCCTTGAGCTCTTAGCCATCAGTGGAATACAATCTCTTGCACACAGGTGTTCACACTGTCCTTACCACACAGAAGAACTCGAATACCATCAGGATTAGCCAGCGGAAGGAAGCTACCTCTAGAACACTGGAGACCCATAAAAGTGATGTTTTCAAATTCAAAGGATCAGATGTGTTATTCCGGGAGGGACACCACATAAACAGTGAAGACTGTTATTGTTGATGGAAACTTCCATCGCCCCAAGGAAGAAAAAAAAAAGGGGGGGGGCGCATTTGAAATAAGTGTCAGATGGTTTTCTAGTGAATGGAAGGTTCCAAGGAGCGATTTAATTTCCACAAGTTTAACAGCCAAAGGATACCCTGCTGCATTATCTAATGAAAATCCAGCTGAGATCCGTGCGTGCCACATAAACACAGGGCTCAGACTGAGAACGGGAAAGATGTGCGAGATACCGAAGATATGGGAGTCATTATTTTTGGCAAGGGGTTCTTCATTCATCAAACGCAGTGAATGGAAATATTAAATACTGCAAGTCAGGTTAATGAGCTGTTCCGTTATGATCCTCTCAAGATGTGAAAGCTTCGCAAAGGGTACCCTCTGAGCCAGGCTCAGTAGAAACCTAATCATTCAGACCAGAAAACCACTTCCCCCTCTGAAAATACGCTGTACACACCAGGGGTATTTTAGAGTCATCTTCGGCAATGCAGCTAGCTCTGTAGCTCGCCCGGATATTTTTAACGTATATGTTGCATTTTTAAAAGGATAAGCATCGATCTTTTTAGCGAGGATTTTCTTTTAGCCTCTCTCGAGCCCCTTCCCTTTAAGCATCAACCACCTCTCACAAATCGAACCAGATCTGCCTTTCAAACCAGAACGTTTAATAGCAGTTGCATACAATCATCGGTTGGTAACACAGCAAGCAAAGAAACAGCCGCCACTTCAGCTATTCACACACAAAATCCCCCCCCCGAAACCCGTGCATTATTTTGCAGATCGAGGTCCCTTTTCATATGCACCGTAGAAGCTAATTGCATGTCACCTCGCTGCGTTTGCATTTACTCGATTTTCCATATAAAACTGGATTAGGATAAAAAAAAATATTCTTAAAAATGGACAGTTGCCGGCAACAGTATAACACCTGATAATGCCGACGGAGGCAATGGCTGTACTCTGCCAGTCGCACCATACAGAATAAAAGGCTATTTGCATATTTGCTAACCCTTTTGAATGAACGTATCTGCAGCTGACCTTTAACAATAGCACAATCTGTGGGATCAGACTGGAGAGAAGCGGTGACTATTTTACCCTTATAATCTCTGCGATCTCAAAAATATCTTCCCGCGGAACCTCCTCACAGCTGGAGACCAACATTCTTTTGTTTCAAATGAGCCTTTTAAAGGCAGGTTCAGCCCACATGCAACCTCGAGAGGGATCAGAATCAGCACGGGGTCTACAAAGCCGCCGTATGCCTTTCCCCCTTCCTCCGGTTGTGCATTGCCTGCCACGACCAGGAGGGAAAATGCGACAGGGATGCTCCCTCTCCCTTGCTGTGCTCTCCCTTACCTTCCCTGGCTTTCAGCAAGACGGTGTTGGCAACGATATTTTCCAGCTCCATTGACAGTATCAGCCAGCCAAGGTAGCGGCACTGCAGCAGGGATGTCAGTTGCTGTAGGTGCTGCTGATTCTCTGCACGCCTAGCAGCCTCCCTCCTCTAGTGCATTATTCCTCCTTATTTCCCCCTCCTGGAGTTTCCTCTTTCAGAAAGTCACCGCTCGCGCCCCCCTCACTAGTGTTTTCTCCCCCCCCCCTCCGTATTGCTCTGCTACTCCATTCTCCTCCCCCCCACCCCACCCCCCCGCGCTCTCTCTCTCTCTCTGATGGTTTAGTGTTTCAGATGCTGCTGCCTCCCCCTCCCTCCCCGGGGGTGTGGCCCTGTGAAGCTGGTTCCGAAGTATTGCGCAGGCGCCGTCCTCAACAGCTGGTTCATTCCTCAACGCTACGGGACCGGGAATGCTGGGAGTTGTAGGCTGAGCGCCTGCTCTGGGTTTTGACTTGCACCTTGAGAAGGAGCCCTCCATTATGTAAACCCAGAAGGCGAGGAGTTGCCAGGGCCGTATAGGGGCTATGACACATTGCAACTAACTGTTTGGGGAGACTACATTGCAACTAACTGTTTGGGGAGACAGCAGATCTGCATAACACAGGCAAGCAGCCAACAGCCCAAGCAATTGCGGGGAGGAGGAGGAGGAGGGTATATTTAATCCCTTGCAAAGTGTTTCAGAGTTCCCGGAAGTAGGACAGTAGTTGTTGCTCGTTAGCTTTTCTGATGGGGGGAGAAAATGAGCCCCAGAGGAAAGCGGTGGGGAAATCACCATTAACAGGAGAGTTCAATCACCCAAGTTCAATGAAATGCTCACATTACTTTGAAACCGCTGAAGCTGGGTGGGAAGGCGGGGAGACAGCCATGCCCCACGCTTCGTGCAAGAAGGGTTGCACGAGCTGTGGCTTTGCACGAAGTTGTGAATTTACTACTGGCGCCTGCGCAATGGAGACACAGCAAGGCAGTCGTGTATTAGCCTTCTCATGTGTTTTCTTTATAGTATGCTGCGGGGGAAGAAAGAAAGAAAGATGCTTTGTGCACCCTATACTGTTAACGATTGTTTCCAGAGACCCTTGTTGAGTCACATAAACCGAGCCGTTCAGCTCCTTCCTCGGTAAAGTAAGCTTGGTTTCCTGTAGGTCTCGCTTCTTGAGAGGTTACGGTCCCACGAGAAACACGATTCAAACGGGTAGGGGGCAGGCCCTTCATGCATTTCTGTGCGCCGTAGTGATTTATCACACTACTTTACCAGCAGCAGCGGGGCTAGCTGCGCGGAGTTAATCAGCCACAGCCCCACTGCAGGGTTCAGCTTGTATTAGGGCGCCCTCCAGTGGCTCGTGGTAGGCAGTGTCTAAGGGAGGTACAGGCACCAGGACACGAAGCGAAATCCTGCTCCATCACAATGGGAGTTTTACCATTGACTTTATTAAGGCCAAGATTTCACCCCCTCAGCTTAAAAGAGTCATAAGGCCTTATGAAGCCTCAGGTGCTGGGGCCCTACAGCTCTCAGCGACTTGAGCTGAAAGTATGAGTGCTCAACAACTGCAAAAAAATCCAGCCACTGTTTTAAAGACAAAAATGTCTTTACCGCTATTACTAACTGAATTACTACTTATTTTATAGGACATACTCCGTGCCTTTTATAGCTAATGAAAACAGACTGAGCAATTTCACTTTTGGATTTGGACAGTTTCATTTCAAGTTGGTTAGATGCTCATCCATCAGCACAGCCACAGAATAGTTTGTTTGCAAACAGGGGAATGTTTTGCCAAACCCGCACATCTTTAAAGCAAAGAAATCTTCCTAACCAGCAGTGACTTTTAAAAATGTTTTTAACCCCCAATTTTAAGGTGTCAACCTAACAAGATCCCCTTATGCTTCCTAAGTGCATTTCCCCACCCCTTATACACCCATCCTTAAATAACCACTACATTTCAGTAGGAACCTTGCTTTCAGCTATGTTCATGTAAGCCCATTAATTTCGGGGGGGGGGTCATACATGTGTTACTGACAGGAAGACTAGACAATTTGAATCCTACCACTATTCCAGTATTTGAATATCTGCTATATAGAACAGGTGCCATCTATTAGCATGATTCTGATCTTATTTAGACCTGTGTAACTCAAGAGTAACTCCACAGAAGCCAAGGTAATGACAGCCACATAAACAAGATCAGGACCAGACTCATTATATTCAATGAACCCCCTTCTTATCTGTATTAATTAAATCCTTGTGAAGCAACCCAGATTAAAGTGCCCAGCATGTTCTTGCAAGTAGGATATAATCACCGTGTCTTCCTATCTTTGTGTGCATACCGATTATACCCCAAGCTAAAGTTATATTCCTTTCTGACAGCCAGGCAAAACTGTCTGGGAAAAATGATACTCAGACCTCCTACTACATTGTCATTTGTCACAATATTAAATGCTCTTTTGCACCTGATTAAAGGACAAAGAGAAGAGGGTTTGGAACTTTAAAAATTAATCATACTGATGTCAGCAGGTACTGCTACTACACGGTCTTCCAAGTCTTCTTAACATGTGAGCAAGTGTTCAGGTTGTGGGGAAGACATGCTGTGTTTCAGTTAGAAATTTTTTGTGTCAGAAATGCCAGGTTCTGGAGCTAGAGTTGCTCCGTGGGAAGCAGGCATTGGTGTTGGGTTAAGACTCCTGAAAGAGATTGCCCCATATGCTATTTGATCACCTCTGTCTGAGGTCTGATGTTTATGTGTAAGTAAAAGACACTTAGACTTTACATCAGATTTCTCCATAATGGGGGAAAATGATATACAAGACCCTAGACATCTGCTCCCCCTCAGAGGGGTGATGGCAAGGTCAGAACAGGACATTGGTGTCAGAAGACAGGGTAAGTATTTTAAAACATTTTTCATATTCAAACAAAAGAAATACGAGTCAAAACATTTTCTTTTCTTACCTCATGGTGCAGCTTTTCTTGAATTCATCCTATTCACCCTCCCCACAACAAGATACTTGAGCAGAAGCAAGTTTACAATAAGCAGTCACTTGGAAGTAGGTCTTCCATAAGCTGAAGTGGTCATGTAAGCCCTGATCTTGCCTGCTGATGTGTGGGTATAGGCCTGTACATCAGTGAGGTGGGGGCGGGGGTTCACATGTGAGGAACAGCTTGCAGGATTAGTGCCTTGGGCTCCCACCCCCTGAAGTGCTCATTGCAGCCCACAACATGCCAAACATGTCCCATTAATACTAATAGAATGCATGTGCACTCCGCACCACCCAGGAGCAGGCTCTTAACCGATAGGAAATTAATTATTTTTTCCCTAGGAACTTGGGGCCTGCTCAGGCTTCCATTGACTTCAATGGAAATTTCACTCTTGCTTGTAGCAGGAAGCACCCTTTTTCTTAAAGACTGAACTTTTAGGATCAGATTTTTCAAAATGCTCAGCACTAGCCATCAAACCCTTATTTAGGTGTCTAAATGAAAAGCAAGCTCTTTTGCCTTCTCAGCAAAGTCATGGACAATTAAATTACAAACAATAGTAGGAAAGGGCACCCAGAAACATATCTTCCATCCTGCGTTAAATGGACCACGTGCAGTGAGGAGCAGGCCATTCAGTTTCCCTGTTTTCTATAAGGTGAGGAAAGTGCTCACGCAGAACAGGGCAGTGTTAAGGTATAATCACACTTTGAGCTGGGGGGTATGATTCTCAGCTCAAGGAGACTAGCTAAAAACAGCATAAGCAGCAGGATAGGCTAGTTGCCCTGAATACATACCATCTGAGACCCTAGGCATTCACTCAAGGCACCAGCTTGCACCATCATGTCTACACTTTAATGTTGCAAACCAGCTGGATAAGTACTAGTTGTCTCCACAAGCTGGAAATCATACCCCAGCTCTATACCCTCAAGCTCACGGGCAATTGCATAGTGCATGCAGTCATCCTGCACTGATGGAGGTCACGTTCTACAGCTATATTTCAGAAGTATAGCTCTCTCCTCACCCTCTCTCCTGGGTACAGAAAGATCTCCTTGCAGAGAGACCAGGTGGGTGAACTTTAGTAATATCTTTTATTGGACCAGGTTCTGTTGGTGAGATACAAGTTTCAAGGCACATGGACCTGAAGACCTCTGAAAAGCTCAAAAGTTTCTCTCTATCACCAGCAGAAGCTGGTCCAATAAAAGATATTGCCTCACCCAGCTGGTCTCTCTAATATCCTGGGACCAAAACAGCTGTAACACTGGGATCCTTGCAGAGAGGCAGACACAAAGCACCTCTCTAGAGCTCACCTCCAGAGAGCTGGGGGCAGGGGGGAAAGAGGTTCTTTTTAAAAGGTTACCATGTATTTTTCAACTTACCCAATCATCCAACTGAGGAATCCCTATAAAGCCACGCATTCCTTCTGGGAGTAGCCAGGTTATCGAGGAAGAGACATCAAGCACAGTCTTAACCAACCAGTTTGGATTATTTCACCCATTGGTTTCTGCTAGTGAGTGAAGTAGACACAACTGTATCATCTTTTCATAATAGCATTGCTGAGAGGAGGTGGGCAAAATGCATGGCCTTAAACAGGGGTAGATCTGGAGTATCCAGGTTGAATCTAGGCTCCAGTGCCTTTCCAGTGGCATGCCTTTTCTTTAAGAAAGAGTCCCAGGTACCCTGTCCCACAGCAGCATAGCTAGTTCAGTGGCCAAGCTCTCAGTGGTCCCCCAGCTATGCAGTTTTCTCCCCTCCTCCATCCATCTAAAGGAGAAAGTTGGGGGAAACTGTCAGAAGCCAAGATTAGAAGCAAATACTGTTCTGAGCAGCATTCACTGTTGAGGAGATTTCCACCTGAAAATCCCTGGTTCTGTTCCTAGCTAGGAGAGGACATTACCTAAAGAAATCATTTTGAAATCCCCATACCTCAAGAGCATGTGTTACATTGCCCTTCCTTCCTCAATTATCTGCCTACTTCCATGAACTGAGGCCTGATTCCTCTCACAACTGTTGTAGAAGATCAGACCCCTAGCACAACTGTGCTTCCCTTTGTAGCAACGAAATGAGGGCAGAAGGAAGAGACTAGCCTAATGTTTGCACTGGGGGAGGAGAAGACTGAATTTGGGGGCGGGGGGGAGAGAGTATTGACGCTCAGAAGAATAAAGGTATAAATAGATGCAATCTATTTAAACTCATACAAATTAAGGTATTTTTTATTTAGAGCAG